ACCTCAAAGCGTAACAGACGGACGGACGGACATCCCGATCACTATATACCCTCCCGCTTTTCAAGCGGAGGATATAACAATACATAATACTGCTGATTTTTTCTGTCAGTTCGATGATTTCCACCATCAAAAAACAATGTTTACCTAACCCTTAAGGCTTGATAAATCTTTTACTCCTTTAGATTCTGAATCATTGCATTTACCTTAAAATATAGCTTTAATTGTATAATGTTACGAGATCAACATATCATCAGTTTATTCCCAATAAGCTCAGGTGAGCATTTTGGCCAATATGCTTCTTTTTCCATTTTTTTTTGCCCCCTAAAAATTTTAGCTTTAATCTACAGGGGGTCATTTTTCTACGGGGGTCATTTTTCTTCACGTGGGTTCTGCAAATTTTAAGGGAAGTGACACTTTTTCTACGGGCAAAAGGGTCATTTTTCTACGTCGAATAATGACCGGGGGTCATTTTTCGCTGTCGAAAAATGACCCCCGGTCATTATTCGATGGGGGTCATTATTCGTCTTTACACCGGCAACCACACCATTTTTATATTAAAAAAACGCATCGATTTCTCATCGTATACCCCATCGCTGAACAATGTGACAGATACTTTAACTATGGTAACTTCCATTTTTATGCCGATACGATGGTGAGCTTGAGATAAAAGATACCAACAAGTCTGACACATATATTTCATATTTTAATATTTAAATGAAAAAACAAGATGTGTTTGTGAGACACTATGCGCCCGGCGGCAACAAAATTCTAAAAAAGCTATTTTTAGCATATATTTCACAGTCAAGGTCATTGACCTTGGTGTCATTTGAGAGAAATTGATTAGTAAAGTATGGATAATAAATATGAAGTCTCTATCTCTTGTGGTTTAAAAGTTACGGCAAAGGTACGAAAAAACTATTTTTAGCATACAAGTCCATTCAAGGTCACAAGGTCATTGACCCTGATGTCATTTGAAAGGGCTTAATTAGAAAAGCATGCATACTAAATATGAAGTCTCTATCTTTTATGGTTCAAAAGAAATGTGAAGGTTAAAGTATGCAGATAAAAAGGTATTTTTAGCATATAGGTCACAGTCAAGGTCACAAGGCCAAAGTGTAATTTGAAAGAACTTAATTAGTGGAATATGCATACCAAATATGAAGTCTCCATCTTTCATGGTTCAAAAGTTATGGTGAAGGTTAAAGTTTGCAGACAAACAGACAAACAAACAAACAAACAGACAGGACAAAAACAATATACGTCCCGGGTCTATCCATCCGAGCGCATAAAAACGTTAATGGCAATCTAAGAACTAAGCTCTATGATAAACGTGATGACTTTAACTTTTCTATCGTCAATACGGAGTTCATATGTATCTCAGTTGATTTGATACACAAAAGCATGCTCTACGTATGTGCAATTTCTAAAATGAGGTAAGTTATTGACATACAAGTTGCTGAACTAAGAATATCAGCAGTCACGTTTAAAAATTCTGTTGTCAATACAATGACCTTGTCAGCAAATACAGTTTATCAGTAAGTGAAATGCTGACTGACGTTTTTCATAATGAGTGTTAGTCCATTTCCTGGCATGTAAAATATCAAAATCGTTAAAAAGCCAGAAAACGTCAGATTTTTCGAACTAGAAACAGGTGTGTCAGACTCTGTGGTATCTTTATTTCAAGCTCACAGGGATACAGTAAAACTCGTTTAGTACGCGATTAGTAAAAATTACGCGAGTTTCGAGATTATAACTCTCCTACGAAAGAGGCGCAAAACGTATCCATTTCAGCATGGAGGTGGGACAGGTTGTTTCTATATACATAAGTGCATGAATAAATGACGATATTTATGGCTTTTAAAATTTATCAAATGTCATATAAATATAATAATGTTGAGCAGTGATGCATTTGATGATTTTATCAAGCTCAATTATGCATAATTACAAATCTACTTTCAATTATAGGGTTCTTGAAAACGAAAGAAACGTCGTAGTCTTTATAAAAAGTAACTGATTTCCTTGATTGTACAAATATTTTCTAAAAAGTTAGTGTTTTTTTTAAAGTTATAATAAGGAAAAGAATCAATATGTCATTTAGATTGCTGATGTGCAATGATCAGATGTATGTGTACCGTATTTTTTAGGAGGTCCATATCTCTTTCCTCGTCTGAAATGTCTCACATCCACTGATAATTTCTTTTTTGTTACGATTTTTTGCTTTAAATAATGATGCCTTTACATTAATTCGGTTTTTCTCGAGTTGTAAAAGGGTATCAGGACAATCATTTAGTTATGATAATTCAGTTTATCGATGATACAATGTATCCAATATATAAATAACTGTCCCACCTGTCTGTTTACGCGGTAACGAAACTCCCCTCCTCAATGAAAGAGTGCACCAAGGGAGATAATTTCGAAACTTGCGTGAAGTTATCTTGCATCCCCAGCTATATAAATTTAACAAATTCCTTATGCGGATAATACGAATTATGCGAAGTAATTTCATTGGCCCCAGTGACTTTGTTATAACCGAGTGTCGACATACGAGGGGCGTTCAATAAATAATTTCATCAGCTCCATGACATACAACATAAAAATCATATGACATTAAGCTTGACTTTTTCTAATTATTTAATCTTTAATAAATTGATAACAGTTTATGTGACCACTTTTCATTGCATAATTTCATTGTGGGAAGCTGGAAAACAAGGGCTACTCGAGACACTGCGTTAAAAATGAATGGTCAAGAATCAGTAAATTAGAGTAAAATTGAACGCGTCATTAAAGCTGCTGTAAAACTTGTTAATTTCCCAACAATATATTAACTGAAATATGTGAAATTTACAGCAACTTATGTCTGTTTCATACACACATGAACAGGTGGATTTCAATTAACAAAAACTATATAATGGTTATCAAAAATGGGTACCCTCCTTGTCAACAAGGACATACTACAACCAATGTATATTGGCGATAATTCAACAAATTATCACAGATTTATGTTTTATTGACTTTAAATTACATAGCAAATTTGATAGACATCATATCGGGGGTAGTTCACACTGTTTTAAAGAAACATTTGATTGTAAAAAAGTTTAATACTCAAATGTCACCCTATATTTATAAATATGAATGAAAACGAGAGCGTGTAGAAAATCTATGCAATTATTTTTAAAAACTCAAAAATTGTTCTTATCCACGTTTTTCTGAAATTCAAACAGATCATGAAACTTGAATCCATTTTGCGTTGAACCCTCAAAACAAATTTAGAATAAGAAGTCCTTGACAAAACTGCAAAGGCCTAAGAAGAGCAAAAATTTGCAAGAACACAAAAACAGTTTTATACGCTATTTACTTAAATATTAGCGGTCTTGTTGTTCAAATACATATATAGGGAGGTAGTTCAAATTCTGGAGGAGTCTAGTAAGCAAGATATTTGCCAACAAATTGAAAGGTTTATGAGAGGAAAGAAACAGAATGAGGAATTCACTACATTAAATGTCTTCCTGACAGCGTCCAAACCCACAGGCCATGAAGAGTAAAGGAGTTTTGGGGTAAACAGAAAGTTAATGTTTTGTCACATTAACAATATTCGCCAGAACTTTCAATCTTTGACTTGTTTCATTTCCCAAACTTAGGAAAACACCTTTCAAAAAGAAAAAAACAAGCACAGCAAATCATAGGATCTGCCATTTTCCAGTAAACAAAGGGTCATACTCAAAACTGTGTTCTAAAAACAATTAAAATTGAATAAAAATGTTGCGGACATGTCTTTTAATTAAAAGAGAATATTTTAGTTAAATCATTAAGACAAAACCATAGAAAAGCGGTTTTTCTTTCTTTCCGAGACCTGATGACATTATTTATTGAACGCCCCTCGTAAGAATGGAAATAACTATTGTTAATTGACAATACGTCATTGATAGTAGTATATCTAAATGTTGATTTGAAGGCCATAGCAAGTGTTTTCTTCTTTTCACGTAAAAGATTATTGTGATGTGGTGATTTTCACAATAGAGTTACCTCTCTTTGTTGTCATACACTGTTTGTCATATATGGTAATTTCCACATCTATTTTTAGTAACAGGAATTCTGTTTAACTAAAGTGTATAAGATTTTTATTTAAAATAATTTTAGTCATTGTCATTTTTTAAATAATGATGGAAAATAGACATAAGTTTTTATTTAAATGTATTGTTTAATATTTTGATAATTTCAACATCACTTCCTGTGATCACGTGACTTCATAGTTTATGATTTTGAACGAAATGTTTCGCGCTATGAAGGCTGTGTGTTGAACATTGTTAAAGCTAAATTATTTATAGCTAGGTGTACCAACTGTTGTACAGTATCACTGTGGTCGGTGGTGACCTTGACCTAAAGCTTATGCATTGTGGTTCTAGTTGGGCACACCGTCATTACTGACATTATTATTATCATTATCTCTATTTGTAATACCATTGATATTCATATAATAAACATATAAAAAGAACAAATCTGGTTATCACATCATCAACAAATTCTGCTTCATATAAATACAAAAATAGATTTCCTTATAATGAATACCTCTGAGAATTCCCATAGATTGTTAGCATACCTAGTCTCCGAAAACCACTTAGATATTGTAATCTCGAGCATCTTTTTAATAACAACTTTAGAGTAATTGTGTGTACAATCAAATTTTTTTAACTAAGTAATTTTGTAAATGACCAATGACAAGGTAATTAATTTACGAGTTCCATTTTTATTGTAAAAGCAGCTGTCAATGATGTCAGAAAGCCTGGACTTTAATTTATCGTGTGGAAAAGTTGTATACTAGTATAAAGTTGAAAAAAAGTTTTATGTTGTTGATTTTAGTAATCAAATGTTTCAAAAGTTTCTTGGAATTTTTAGTATCCATCTGATTAACACCACTTCTCGAATATATTGTTGAACAGTATAGTTTTAAGTTTATCAAGAAAATATCGCTAAAATCAAATTTCAAATTTATAAATATATTTTATACAGAAATTTTGTTGTTGTAGGAATTGATTCAGAGGATTGTTTCTAAACCGAGTTATGTACATGTATACTCATTTTCCTTGAATAGCATCATTTCTTACCAACATATTACATCCAAACTGTGCATAAGATCGTAAACCATCCTCTGAAAATTTAGTAATAACAACACACTATTCATCCAGTCACTGCAACAATGTAATAGTCCTGATTGTATTTTGCTGAGAATGTAAGTTTCTATCAAGTCAATCACTGCCTCACATATTAAAATACAATGATTCTCCAGTACGTGAAAAGACATACAAATGAATAAGGAATAAATCAAATAAAATGCTATTTTAAACTCTGCAAACATACATGTATATTTTTTAGAACAACAAACACTTGATATGGTACGTATCTATCTACATGAACCTTGCCGTTCAGAGCTCAGGAAGATTAACAAAAAATATTGATGGGTGTGATTTTCCTTTGAACTGGATACATTCCCTCGGTATATCGAACAGCAATACATGTACATGCTTCACTAATAGTTGCTATTCCAAGAGGTGATAGAATCAAAATCAAAATAAAATCCCAGTTTTTAACATTCAAAACTTTATATCTCGAATCTCAAATACAATTGTATACGATTCTAGCATCAAAATAGAAATGTCCCTTTCTTCAGAAAATGGCGTCAAAAATTTGAAAATTCACTTCTTGGCGGGTTTCTTTGGAGTTACGGACACTGACTATGAGTAGATCATACACCAAAGTAATGGCCTCAGCGACAGCCACAACGCGACACGGACATCCCTCTGACTGTCTGTATGGCGGTTATGTTGTTGTTGTTTATGAATATTAAAGTCTGTGACATATATTCTATCGGGGAGCAGCACAGTCTCTTATTGAAGCGAAATTTTAACAGTACATGGTTTGTGGCGTTAAAATAGGGGTCCATTGGAGCCACGGGGCAAGTTCCGTCACAAATGTTCGCCTGGTATGTTATAGGACGCTGAATGAATTTTTCATACCATCCTAAATCCCGGAAATCCACAGTCCATTCTTTCAGACGACAGTAATTTAGAGTTTCTGCTGTTTCCATATTTATTGTCGAATTTCTATTAGTTGGCACAAAGCGCTTCCGACGGACTGAGTGCAATAGGGAGACATTTATGTCGAGGAAAACCGCCAGAATTGGATTTAGGTGTCTTACTTGGTGAGTGGATTTACTGACAGAGACAAACAGATTTAATGTTGTATTTAACACCTGATCCATAGCGAGATTTGTGATGTCAGCCAAATGTCCCTGTTCTGTATGAAAGGAACTCACTCCTGCAATTTTAGAATCATGTATATATGAAAATTTTAAAAAGTTTAAAGAACATTTCTTAAGTATAAATAAACTTTTTAAAGCATATTTTGATACATCATTTTGACCAATTTAATATGTTTACATTGGCACACATAACTGTCCCTTGTCGTTTTTAGAAAGTTAAAATGCAAATGGAACTATCTAAAGTGTTAAAAGAACAAGACTACATGAACACAATATGTTAGGTTTCATTATACTGGACAAGGCTTGTCATTATACAATATCGTCATTTGTTTGTAATGCTTATTTTCATAAATATATTATATGAGATAATATAATGACTCCCTTTCCTCACAGTTTCCTAAATCTAAGAAAAGGCTTGTAACATTTAAAAAAACATAACCTATACTGTATATTTAATCTTCCTAAAATCTTTACAAACAAAGATACATTGTAGGATCCAATACGTATTCAACCAAGCCCCTCTCCTTGCTCCTTATTAAATATTTATTACTGTAAAGGCAAAAACTTCAGACGCACTCTGCCACAACACTTTCTGAAAGTGGTGCATATCAAATGTGGATTCTCCAAAACTTCAAAGAACTTTAAGAAAATCTTAAACACCATTTTTTTTTTCAAAAGAAAGTAGTCTGTAGTCTAGCATGTCTTTTCTATATTTCAAAAAACCATTCCTTGCGATAAATAAAAATACATCATTTGAAGGCAACTACTCCTATAATCGAAAGAGAACTCGGAAATTTTCATATCTTGTGATTGATCTTTAACAAAATTACTTTCTTAAAATCACAGATTCTACATACAAGTTCCCTGAAGTTGATATTAAAAGGATGTTGGAACTCCAGTCGAGACTAATTGTTCTCCCTCACTAGCCGACCAGTTTTTCTGTTCATATGAAGCAGAATTTATTTTTAAAAAACTTCACTGAGGCCTTCAACTCGACATTAAGATATTCTATCTAGTTTTATCATTATATATATAATAGATATATACAAACAAAATTGGAAATAAAAGACATCACAGTGTTTTCTATCTGGATGTTTTTTTCAGATTCAGGCCAAAATAGCTTCTGACAGATAAGTTGATGATACAGGAATATCAGGATCCCCCTTCAAAGTCGGCATTTTGTAACTCCTATGATCGTTATAATGATCTTGTGAGCAAAAATGTCATATTTTAACTGAAATACAAGTTTTTCATCCCAATTGTTAAGCCTTTGTGATTGAAACAAAGGAGGAAGCAACTGAAACAGAAAGGAAAGTTAAGGGAAGAAAAGTCATGGTACATGGTAGTGAGTATTTCGAATATAATAACTCAATTTTGCCCATTAATGTTTACGTTATGAAACTCCAATCATAGAAACACTTACTGATTCCGGGGCGGTATGGGGATGTGATTTGTAGAGAGATCTGTCGGTGGGTATGTCCCGTGAAGGCAACCTCTATCTTGGTCACGTTTCCATCAATAGGTGCTCCTGATAAATCAAACTCAAGGAGACCTTCGGAGGAATCTGTTTAAAAATGTTGACATACTACAGGAAGATGTTCATGTTTAATGGTAATTCTAATCTTTTTTAACAAACATCGTAGGAAATTTCCTATTGCCGGTATATAAAGGGACATGGACACAGCGTCAACTGACTTTTTAAAAACAATTTTAATATTTATAATTAAGGCAATTCAAACGATCAGCGAAATTTTGAACATCATTTGTTGATTTACAAAGACACAGAACTTAAAATTCTTCATGATGTAAACAAGACTCATGCCTTATTTTTGTTCACACGTAGAAAATATCATATTTATAACAAAACAATATTCAGTAAATCACTGGAATCTATGAAATGGTATTTAGAATTTAACTTCATAAATGAAAAATCTGCTTTGAACGAACATAATTTAGTATATTTAACCTATGTAAACAAAAAAAAAAAAAAAGACACAAGCCTTGTTTACATAACAAAGGTTTGGACTCTAAATTTGTCTTGTATCTCGACAACTGAATATCAAACTTTTGATAATCATTAAAAATGCCTTAATCAGTACTAGTATTTGCATAGATAAAAAAAAATTGAAAAATAAATTTGAAAATGTGTCCATGTCTCTTTAAAATATTATCTATATATGGAAAGTGAGTTTCGGATCTGAAATTAAGAAATAGGTTAAAAACCTAAGAAGATACACAGTTTATTATCTAGAGACAAACTGCGATGAGCACATTCTAGCAACGAATAACAATATTTTGCTGCTTTCCATAAATTCATTAATGAAACCATTAGACTTTTAATTTCCATGTCAATGAACTGAATTTTCAGTTAAAATAATACATATAGAAAGATAAAATTAACCAGTATTTAATTTTAAGATATACTGTTATATTTTAGGATAGAAAACAGTAAGTTATAAAAACTTGTTGCCAGTCCCTTTGATTATTTCAAAGAATTATGTTTAAAAACAATTTTATATTATACATATACATGTATTAAGGATATCCGGTCCTTAGCCAGGAAGGATAACTCCAAAAATTAATATTTAATTTGAAATGCATCAAAATGAAGCTTGAAAATGAATTTTTTTCATGCAACAATTTTCATTTTATTCATTTTTATAAGATTCAAGGTTTTTGGGAGTCCTAGAAAAGATCTTACAAAAGTTAACATTTGTACCCTATAAAAGGAAAAAAATAATAATACAGTTTTAGAGAAATAAGATTTTCTTGAATCCAGCCTTAGATACCAATGCTTATTAGCATGATATGAAAAAAGAAGTGATTTGTTGTGTCTTGCAATGATAGCAAAACCCTTTTGCACTAGGTATTATAGAATACATGTCGTAAATAGAAGACAGAAAATCCAAATACGTATAAAAATCATAGCAATTTCTCTGACTGCCTGGATACCTGTTGTTTTTAAATCTTAGATATATTTGTTGATCAATTTGCAATTAGAAAATGCATTGCTGATATTCCAATTCGCCTTTTCTGCAAAAATATTGGAGATCTGACAATTTTCTCTATATGATATGATTAACTTTAATCTTTAACTTAAACAGAATCCTGTGGATAAATTTACATAACTTTGTGGATTCACAGATACTTTTATGAGTATTTTCATTACATAACTGCTAATTTTATAAACCTGAGGATCGGACTACCTTAAAAATCACATATATCTGACATATCTGTTAAAATATTCACCCTTATTAAGTTAATTTTATAATACTTTTTTCGATTTATTTTAATTGTAAATTCTTTCCATTCATCAGAAATAAAATCGTTGTTATAACTTAATCGTCAACAAAAGGCATTTAGATACTTTAAAATTCACAAATATTGCTATGTAGTCATTCCATAAATGCAGAAGTCATCCGTGGTTAATTCATTTCAATGATGCACAGTTTTTTCACTAATTTTTGGGGTCTTGTTTTTTTTTTATTTAATGTAATTTATTTTTCATTCAAGAAGGAGTGATTATGCATCGAAATTGTTTGTATTAAAACAAAATTACTTGTGCGTTCTTAATAAAAAAAAAAAAATAGAAAAATGATTAATTTTTATTAGCACTGCCATTCACAATTCAATTAACATTATCAAGATATAAAAAGTTAATTGTATGTCATAATTAAACTGCCATGTGCATATTCATATTTACTTTTGATAATTTAAAATACAAGTATATACTATTGTTGTATTGTTTAACGAGCTGTTGAATGTTTTATTATCTTCACTGTTAAAGCATATAATTAATTTTAAACGGATTATTGAATGCTTTAGATTATTATTTACAAAAAACTTAAAATTTGCAGTGTTTGACTTAAATGTGCGACTTTAAAACATTAAAAATGCAGAACTGGTTTAAATTCGCCAAATTTGTATCCAAGTTCTCTTTCAAAAGAAAAGAGATTTCTAGATGAAAACATATATACAAAATGATGAGGTATATTTAACTTACGCGACTCCGGATTGTAGAACAGCACCCTGGGGTCCCGGTCGGAATACATACGTAGGTCATCTTGTTTTTCTTCTATCTGAAGAAACAGCTGCTGCACGTACGGTAAGAGAGGTCGAGTGATGGGTACGCGCTCTCCTGGGTCAATGCCCAGAGTCTGAAGAAATTCAGAAGACAAGCGAGGGGGCACAAACACCCCCATTCTAAGACCAGCTGCGAATACAACCGCGTACAACCAAATGCCGAGTGTTCTCATAATTTTTGACAGGGATCTAAAGCATGTCAAAGCTTTATATACCAAGACCTATGTATGCCAGTACCATGTCATCGTGGTTTTGCTATAAGTAATACACATTTAAAATTTATAACATGCACCAATTTGATTTTTTCCAAGAAATTGTCAAAGACTTGTAAATATCGATGCTTTAATTTTCGTTTCAATACTCATTAATATTTAGTTGAATTTAGTTTAGAAAGGTGTTTTAAGTCATGTTACATTTTGCAGCTCATGACAAAATTAACTGAAATTCAGGCAATTGGAAAACATTTATTCCATTTAATGGTAAATTTGATTGATTCATTCACTAAATTAATATTACCTGTACTTAGGATACGCCAACTATTGTGTATTTCCGACCAGCTCTTTTACGTCTGATTGGTATTTTAAGATTATAAAATATCCCAAAATCCGGAGATAAATAGCACAGGCCCTTGTTTCTGAAATAAAGATTTTGACCCATAGTATAGACCTAATAATACAATGGGTCAAAATCTATTTTTTGTCGTCTACAAGTATATATAGGGTCATAATTGTCGTTGTCTGTTTTTGCTATCTAGATACAAGTCTATAAATATAGGGTCAGTTATAACATATGATACAATAGGAAACTTTCATAATTAATATATTCTAGAATTTGTAATATAAAACAATTTTTTTTTTAATTTTAAAAACTTTTTTGTGGTAGTTTAATAATTTTAGTAGATTTTTTTTATCTATGCCTTCTACCTGACCAATTTCATAAATTTCCTTTGTATGTCATTATTAGCATAGTGGTGTTCGATGAGGAATCTCTATAAGGGAGGTCAACATTACCGCTACATCGCCAACACACATCTATTTACAATTTTAAAAACTGATATTTACATGTCCTGCTTCAATTATGGTGCTTTATATCCCTGAATCCTGGTCTTAAAGGACTCCAGGGACATGGCCGTGATGGTGTCTTCTGGCAGCTGGTTCCATATCCTGATGGTAGTAGGAAAGAACGATTCCTTGTAGACGTTGGTACGGCAGAATGAGATCCTGTACCGGTGTTGGTGTCCCCTGGTGGCTGCTCCTGTTTGGCTGAATTAGGGAGGCAGGTCTATAGTAACAAGGGAATGGACGACAGGATACATCATAATAGCCTTTGCTTTAAT